TTACGGATGCCCTCCTTTCTTACCCTGGGGAAAGAAAGAGACGGAGACAGAGACAGACACAGACAGACAGACAGACACAGACAGACAGACAGAGACAGAGACAGAGACAGGGACAGAGACAGAGACAGAGACAGAGACAGAGACAGAGACACAGACAGACAGACAGACAGACAGACAGGCAGACAGGTGTCCCTTCTTACCTTCTGACGCACTCACCTCCGGTTTTTTCTCACAGAATTACCAACGAAATCCATGAATCCAAGCACATTAAGAAATGACATGCCTTAGTTTTAAGTTTACTCTTCGCTGAAACCGAAAGACAAGGCTCACTTCTCCGACGAGCGATGCCGCACCGACATGAACTCTATCATCAGGTCGTTGGTTCGCATCCTTTTGGGAGATCACGCCGGGATTTAGGTTTGATGCTGCAGCTGCCACAGACGCGCACATGTGCAGCAGATGAGTTGCCGTGCTCTGCAAGTTCCACTCCTGAATGTTCCCGCAGAACCGGTCCACACAAAGCTGCCAAGTCCTGGCAATCCAGTGTGCTAGTGAATGTCGCCAACACCAATGCCACAAGAAAGCTGCGACAGCAGATCAGCTCCCGGACACAGCCACAGCTCTCTATGGCATCATGAACCGGCCATCTGCCGGCAGTATCCAACACCCACCTAACAAGTAAAATCGACATGGAACAACATCCCCGTTCGGATGCACATGCCACGCGCGGTCTGGAAGCAGAAGGGCCTGACGCTACAAAGCAACCCCTCGGGTAAGAAGTTGAACATAACTGGCAGATATCGAGATGACCTCTGCTACAAAGCCTCACACGTCCGGCACGCTCAAAGAGCATCGAGAAGTTAGAGCTGCCGGGATCTGCTGTTACACGTGCAAGGTGGCGAAGATAATGCTTGTCAGATGGGCTTCGTGGTGGAAGTCTGCCACCTAGCCCCCCCCCCCCACATTAGCGCCATCAGCACCTACCGCGGGTGCCTCCACCTCGAAGACAAAGCCGGAAACCTTCATAAGCACCAGTAATGCAAGGTCGTTAGACAGGTCAAGTGCATCAGTTGCCTGCACCCTTCGTGTCCAAGACGTGGACACGGCGCAAGAGACCCAATCCGACCGCAGCTCTGGCAACGAGGGCTTGTTTACGGCTTACGGCATCATCATTCTGCAGACCTTTTGGCGGCAAAGCACCAGGCGCACCAGTGCGCGGGCCTCCTTCGACACGGCTCCGCCACACCGCAGAAACCACGTGAGCTGTCTGCATTGGTACGAGGCAGTGCGCGAGCGTTCTTCGACGAGGCCCCATCACATGAGCATCGCAAAGGGCAAACCATACGAGCATCATCAGCATCCGTGCGAAGGCCTTCTCACAAAGCTCAGCCGCACATCAGTGTGCGTGCAAACCTATCCCCGCAAAGGCCAAGCAGGCAAGCCAAGCATCATCAGCATCAGTGCGAGAGCTGCAGCGCTAAACGCGCATCACCACTGCACCGTACAGGCGAAGGCAAGCCAAACGAGCACTGTGGGCGACATTGTGGCCTTCTACTTCAAAGCTAAGTCACCCAGCATCAGTGTGCAGATCCTTCACCGCAGGCCAAGCAGGCAAGATCAGGAGGGCCCAGCCGCATGAGCATCACAAGCATCAGTCTCAGACCTTCCGCCGCAGAGACCAGGCATCATCACCGGACATCTTTTAGAAGTTCCTGTCGCACCAAAGCAAAATCAGGCGAGCATCATCAGCGGCAGCACGGAGGACCCCGACAAGGAGACCTTCCACCACAAAACCAGGCCAGCATGATCAGGAACAGCGCACCGGCATTCTTCGACAAACCCCTGCTGTAGGGCACCACCCAAACAAGCCAGCATCATCAGTGTCAGTATACATGTGAGGACCTTAGTGCTACACGGTTTTGCCGTTCGAGCAGGACCTTTATGCATCACCAACCAGCCAGCTTGCCACGAAAGATTACAAGGAACGCATCGATACAATCAGTTCATCGTTCGACCTGACCGCAGGGATGCCACCGGTTACGCTTTTCATGTTCTATCGATCGGCGCGTCTGATAAGCGAGAAACAATAATAAGATGGTGCTCTTATTGCCAGCCAGTGACACAAACTCCACGAAATTGGAATCTGCGACGACAGCAGATCTTCACGCGTGTCCTGGTGGGCCTCCGGAGGTCATTATGGGCTGCGCCTCCAAAGAGCCTGATGTCCTGACAGGCTTTTAGAATGATATTGCTCTGAGTTGAGTGGGTGGACCCCCAGCCCAAGCACTACTTCAAACACAGATTCGATGGCAAGAGTCGCACTTCAACAGGGTGTTATGACCTTCCCAGGTTAAGTTTGTCCGCTGGCACAACAGTTTTCCTTTCCAGCTTATTTTCCGGCATGGCGCCTCGTACTCATAGATCGAGGCCAAACAGCCGTTGCTGGAAGAGCTGATATGTGGTCAGGAGACGTCGGCACGAGGGACACTAGCGTGTAAGTGAGGTACAGCGAGCATAATCCACCTGGGCATGGAACTCGCTTGAATCTGTTAGCACCCAGATGCACCCAAATAGCCTAGTTGTTTTCATAAGCATGAAGTTTCTTCACGCTGTATGTTCAACCCGGGCCGAAAGTTGGGACTACGTGAACATCTTACGATCCGAGAGCAGCCCATGGCTCCTGGAGAAGGACCCACCCCGCAACGAAACAGAACATGAAAGAACTAGTACAGGCAGGCGACATACAACCGCGCCACTTTTGGCCCAGCCAAAAGAGGAGGACCCTTTGCCACCATGGCGAGCCATGAATGCACAGTTTTTATTAAGATTCTAGACATTAGGCCGTATCTGAACCAAACGTTTGCTCACACGCTGATGAAAATCATACAAAGGCAATAGCATGACTTAAACGAAAGGAAAGCTCCTCTGCAAGATCTTCCAAGGCAACAGCGCCCTCGAGAAGCGCAGTAGTACGTATTCCAGGTGCATGATTTGGGTGCAACGTGGACCAGGGTTGAGGGTTGAGGTTGTACAGTAGGAAGTGGAATTCAGCAGTGTCTTGTTTCCCGCTCAGCAATGTCAACCTGCTTTGAGATCGAAATGCTAGTGCGATGCAAAGGCTGGGTTCATGCTTCTTCCAAGTGTGGCCGGAGCGGTGTCGAGGGCTACCTCGGCCTTGGGCCTAAATTCAGAAGATGTGAACCTTGGAATTCTTGGAACTTCCAGCATGAAATTCTCAACCGAAGATCTCTGAAAAGCAAGTTGCCGAACAAGCTGCATCAGCTTCAAGAGAATCAAGAGGCGACTCTTCTTGTGGCCGAGACGTACAGATCTTGAACAGGATTCTCGCAACCCCAAATCCTAAACCGCAATCCCGACTTGCGAACAACTTGTCGAGGCGGTGTATCACACTATGCTACCCACAGTAGGCTGGGTCTTCTACGCCTTCCGTTGATCATCAGGTTTGTTTCGTGGCACAGCTCCATGTAACAAAGTGTCTTTTCCACCAACAGATAACGCGTCTGCCACCCTTGAAGTCCCGATCTTCGGACTACAAGTTTCGGCATGCATGGCCTTGAGCCCACGTGACCATCCCTGATACTAGAAAGCTGCTGATGGGCCATCGTGCCACGGCGAAGCTCTACCTCACATGCGGGGTCTCATGGCGCCCCTTCAGTCACCACTGCGCAGCGGCATGGAAACATGATAAGTCATGAGACGGTGCCTTTGTGTGCTAGAAGGAGGTGATAGGGAGAATCTTCAAACTCGTTCCATTTGGCCGCAGTATGGTAGCGAGTGTCTAGAACAACCTTGACAAACTTTTCCAGACTATGCTGCTGCAGCAGAGGCTGACAGGCTGACGGCGATGCTCACATCGGATTGGCTCACGTCCGCCTTTTCTTCTTCACCAACTCTTTCGGGGCCTTGTCCATGGGAGGCTCCTCATGACATGGTACATACATTGTACGTCTCGCGTTTGACAGGAGTCGCACCAACGCAGATCCACTGCACGCAAACGAAAACTAAATAGATTGAAGGACATGAAAAACCCGCCCCTTGAGCATTGCATGTGAAGTTCATGTGGATACTAATGCGGATAGCCTGGAAGTCTGACAGGGGCCGATGCAGCTGCTGAAGACCTGCTCAATTAACACAAGTACTGGGAGAAGACAAAGATAGAGTGGTTTTGATGAGATTTTGCCACCGCCGTAGCCTTCTCGCAGCAAGCTTCCGTACTTTAGCCGCCGTCAGATGAAGCTCACCACTACACACTACTCTTGCGTCGAGATCCCGAGCGCTACAGTATCGAATGTCCTCGCTGCTGGCTTTCCTTTTCGCTGTCGTCTTCTTAATGCCTTTGTCCTTATCTTTTTGCGGGGTACCTCTGTCCTGCGGTCCAGAGCACACCATCGACCACCATCACAGCAAACCACGAATCTGCGAAAAAGCGTCTTAGCAGACTGAAAGGTGCGTGGTGACCCAGCGACGTGTTGAAAAGAACTGGCGATGAGTACAATGGTCCGGGCACCATGAGCCTTACCACAGGTTGCCCACTACATCGGTGGAAGAAGAAGCGATTACAGATACACAAACGCCCACACAACCGTCAGATGGGTCAAAGCACGTGCAACAACACTGATTTACCGAATCTGCACGACCTGGCAACTGGAACGATCCGGACATGAAGTCCTTTGACATGGATCAAGAACCTATCTGCAACGGTTGAAATCCTCAGAGCAATCGCACCAAGGGTGTTCGATTACGAAGGTATTGAAGCACCAACCTGAGCTTGTCGGGAGTGATCGGCTATAATCGGCCAGTATTTGGCGACACATGTGGCCGCACCGCGTCGGCCTCCTGGTTCCCTCAACACTGTCACGATCTAGTTGCCTCCCTAGTCTTTCGCCTCTAAGTGCATCCAAACCGTGCCAACAGTATGCGAGCCATGCACAGTGAGTGCACTCTACTTTTGAGAAAGTCTGGCGGATGCCACCCCGGCCTCATGGTTCACTGCCAGAGCCACTGTCGCGAGTTTAGATCCAGGTCATTCAAGGTCTACACATGACTTTGCAGCTGTGGTCCTTCTTTTGTTTGTCCTTGATCTCCTTTGCCTTCCGCACATCTTCGGCTTCTTTGAGCTTGGCCTGCAGCTCAGCAGGTGCATAGGGCCTTCAAATTCAAAACCTAATTTCGCTGCGTGGGCCCCAGTGGAAACCTGCGATAGCTGACGATGGAAAGTCTTGCAGCGCGATTCAGGCGGGGCCTTGGTCTTGCCGGCCTTACTCCTGGCCGGCGCTTCCGGTGACTCGTTCTCCACCTGAGAGGCGACCAGAAACGGACTTCAACAGTACAGCACAACTCAGTTCCCTCCGAAGAGTGTCGCGATGTGTCACGAGCTGAGGCAGCTAGGGCCACTCGAGTCTCGTCGTGCATTCCCACCCGTCCGACAAACTCTGAACTCGGAAGTCTACAGTTAAACGCTGCAACAGAAGGAGCAGGATTTTCTGAACCCAAAATCATCAGAATCCTTGTGGATGCCACCTCTTGACGAGACTTTCGCATTGCTTTGAGTGTCGTCTCACGGTCCTTCACTGCTCAAGGAGGCTTGTGCCAAAGACAGTGGGTTGGAGTTCGGCACCGGGTGTGGGACCCTGGCTTTGCAAGTAGGGTGCTCTGCTCGCCGACCGATCAAACCAACGCTTGAATACTTGGACCCTGGTGTGACCCTGTGCTGGTCTCCATGTTTTGAGGGTTTGAACGCTTCCCATGCGATAGACACGTGATAGACACGCGGGCGGTTCAGAGTTCTTGAAGAGGCATTCGTTCAGCATTGCGTGCGGTCAAAACTTAAGTTCCAGCGTCCTGGCGCGCTCGCAGGCGCATTGCACGCAGCTCAGCCATCAGTGCGCCTTCGTCCTTCGAGCCACAGGGTGCAGATGGGTGCAGTGCCACTTCGCCCTCGGATTTGCCCTGCGCCTCATCTGAAGGCTCATCGGCACAAGGAGCCTCCGACTCGGGATCCTCGGGGGCCTGAGGAAGAACATGCTGCAGGCTTTTCCTTTCTGGGAGCGCTTGTGTGTTAGGGGCGGGAATACCGCAATGGCACCGGACCCGCCTCTTCCTCCTCATCCTCTTGTGCTAAGGCATTCCGCGCTTTGTGCGTCTTAGACTTCTTCGCCTGAGGTTACAGGACTGGTCCTAACTTGTATGGAGCCTTTCTCGAGCAGAACGGTAGATGCTGCGATTCCAGTCGCAAGATCCAACTCGAAGAGAAACCGCAAAGAGCAACGCTCCTAAATAGTAAGCTAGACCAGTAGATTGGTCTTTGGTTGTTGTGGCATCCTTCTTCTCCTTCTTTTCGCGTTCGTCCTTCTTGTGCTTCTTCTTCTCCTTCTTCGCTTTGGGCTCCTCAACTCAGGAGCAGGGCGCAGCACAGGGATCTGCCAGAGGGCTTCCGACAGCTCATGCAGGAGTCGGAGATCTGAAAGACTCTCCTGTGCAGTAGAGCCCGTCTAAACAAAGGTGTGGCAGCAGCTGGGGTGGCAAGCTCCTCCTGTGCCTCCTCCTCGCACTCGCCGCCGCTCCCCTCCTGGCATGCTACATTCAACCTAAAACCTAAAACAAACTCGCTTCCCCCCTGTTGAAATTCTCCGGCCACACTCAATATCTCGGATTCTAGAATCCTTTGAACCCGGTGTCAGGTCAACAAAGGTGCCCGAGAAAGTTTCGATACATTCAATCAGCGTGCTCGAATTCCTAGCTGGCGGACGTGTTGATTGCACTGCCGCCTAGCTACCAGTAGGACCTACAGGATAGATCCCAGCATGGCGAGAAGCCACTAAGTGTTTCCTGCCAATGCCTTCCCTCAACCTCCTAGATACTGTCGAGAGGGACGGGCATGCGTCTAATTAGTCCGATTAGTGTTCCTGGGCTTGAGGTGTCCACTCTGCGCCTCTTCATCGCACTGGCTTTCTTGTTGTTTGTGCTTCTTCTCCTCGCACAGCATGCCGCTCACCGTCCCAAAATGGCTGAGGCCTTCGACCCCAACGAAACACAGAAAGGTTACGCCCACATATGTTGCACCGAGATGCATGTATTGCACACTCGGGGAACTCGGCCATGCTTTCCGAACATGCATGGCTGCTCAGTGTTCCAGATCTGAAAAGCAGCGTTGAGGTGCGGCTCCTTGTGCTTTTTCTTCTTCTTCTTTTTCTTCTTTTTGGCTGCGGCCTTGATTAACTCGGTACGAGTAGGTACCATACAAGTGTCTTGGGGTGCCAAGGCCGAGTTTGGAGGGGCTGCGATTCCTCAGTTTGCTTCAGACAGTCGCGGATTTGGTAGAAAACAGGGGGTTCGTGGAAAGATCGATAGGGAGGACTTCTGTTCTTGCGTCATATTTGCAGGATCTTCGCGACAGTTCGGCTGCGCAAAGACGCATCGAGTCTGAATTTCAGAATCTGTCCTCCTCGTCCTCTTCCTCATCTTCTTCCTCCTCATTGACCTCTGGCTTTGATGCACGAGCCAACGCAGAGCGCAGCAAGCTAACTGGGACGTCATGCCTCCTTTTGTGCAACATCGTCTTCTTCATCGTCAGCGTCTTTCTGCTTCTTTCCTGCAACACTCTGCATGCTGTCAGCGTTTGATGGAACAAGTGGTTTCGAAGACCAGCCATGACACGTCGCGGATACGATTATACCGGGAAGAACACAAAAGTTCTTGAAGTAGTCTGGGAGTGTAGTGATCCCGAACTGGGCATCATTCTCCGCACAGAACTATCGCATTGCTGACGTACTGTTGCTCATGGCTTGGCGCCAGGACACCCGTTTCCTGCGTTTGTAAATGAAGAGTTGCCAGGCGCGCACAACTGACCCGGCCTTTCTTCTTTGCCTTCTCTGGACGCTTGACCTCGGCATCTTCTCTGCCCTTAAGCTTGGCCTTCTTCTTCCTCTCCGGCCTTATCGTGCGGCTCAGCTTGCGGAACAAGCTTAGGTGCAGTGGGTTGCAATTTCTAATTCCAACATCTGCGTGTTTCTGCTGCGGGAGACTTTGAATCGTTTTTCTTCGCGCATGCAAGGGATGTCTTCAACCAAATGAGAGTTGATTCCGCCTGAAAAGCACATCTGCGGCCTAATCCTTGCGCATTACATTACGTGTATCGGGCCGACAGACGAAAAAGGAACTGCTGTCTGCCAGCAGGGGCTCTTCTCTTCGACCACCGGCTCAGGCTCCTCATCCGAAGGCTCGCCTGAAGGGCCATGATAAAGCTTGGACAACTGAAACTGGCGGTAGGTGTGTGTGTGTGCGCACATGCTTCTTGTGTTGCTTCTACCACTGCTGCAACTGATGTTGTTGGATGCAGCAGTGTAAGAGGTCCGGCTGGTCCGAAACAACACAGTACAACACAACAAAGGTTTGAATTGGCGGCGACAACCCAACATCACAGCTCTGGCAAGGCGTCGGCAACGCCTGACACGTTCTCGCCAAACGAGTTTTGATTGCACGATTTTCGGAATGTGCACCCCCCCCCTAATTACGACCTACATGCCTGAATCCCCATGTGCAGCCGGACAGCCGATGTCGGTAAGCTCCCGCTCAGGGTCAGGCTCGTGAGCCTGCTCCAGCCAACAGGTCACACACAAAGGCTAAACGGTGCGCCGGTGTCTTCTTAGCTCATCGCGGTGATGAGATTTTCAAGAATCGAAGCTTTCCTCAGACTTCTTCCCCGAATTAGCCTTATTGCATATAGGAGGAAAAGAAGCGTGACAAATCGATCAAGCTTCGCCCACGGCTCTTCGGGCTTCTTGTACGTATGCCCGTGTGTTGGAATTCGGACTGGCCTTGAGAGTCGTGTAAAGCCTTCCCTTGTCATCACGGACCACCTACTCCGCATGAAGACTGGTCCAAGGATCATGGTCCACAACCAGGCTTGAACGATGCACGATCGCAGGAGCGACGCAAGCAAGAATGCACAGGTCGGTCCTTGCTTGACTTTCAAGCTGACCCGTGTGTTGTGCCTACATGCTAGGTGCCTGAATTGATTCTCCTTAATGTCAACATAGGGCCTTCAAGTGCTGGAGATGAAGACGAAGACATCTTCCATAGAAGGCAACAGACGCTGTGCTAGTTTTCCTGTTCCCACCAAGAACGGAAGCTTTCATGCATTCCCCCTGCGACTTCCTGCCTGGGCTGTGACTGCCATTCCCTCTTCTTCGTCATCCTCTTCGGCAATGGAGGTGGCAGCAGGCTCTTCCTCATTGAAGGAGGTTTAGAGGTTCATGTGGACAGCCATCTTTCCAGTGAGGAGGTTTGGGGTCATAGGTTGTTTAAAAAGCCTATGCACTACGATTGGTCTGGAGTGTTGCGTTTTCATGCTACTTACTGTAGCTTGATGCGCGATATCTTCTAAGCCTGAGAGGCTCGAGGCACAGCCTGAGGAGCCACAAGTGGGCGAAACGCGTAGCATGTAGTGCAAAGGTATCATCGCCGCGCGGCTTGAGTGTGTAAGTTATCTGAAGGTTCAGGTTTAGGCATGGTTTAGGGCCTCCTTGAGGCCGCACCGGCCAGGGAACCACTGCCACGAGAAGCGTAAGGCAAATCCTCTTGTATCCTCTTGCATTCTCTTTCTGTGGGGAACAAATGGTTGGTTGAGGCTGGCGCCGAAATTATATGTGCCAGCGAGTTCGCCAGGTCTACCCAGCAGAAACTTCAGCAGCATGTGTGCATTGCTCAGCTTTCAGTCTTGCAATACCCCTTCACCACTTCTGCAGCGTCGGCCGTGCTACTGTGGATACCCAACAGCTGCTGGAAGAAACTTCTACCCCTCTCTTATCCTGTCTTGCCGGCACATCGCCACTCTGGTGTACCAAACGAAACCCGTCAAATTGCGCAGTTGAAACTCCACATCCTCAGAAGCATTTCAAATCATCTGTCATGCTGTGATATCCTCATCCAACCTCAACCCTCAAACAGCTGTCACCAAAACTGCCCCAGGTCCAGTACGCTGCACAAGGTCAGCTCAAGTGCAAAAAAGACAACTAAGGACGCGCCTCAGAGTCGGGTGCCAGGGATGTGGCTCTCGAAGGAGCGGGAGAGGAAGCGCGGCTGAAGGGGTCCTCGGTGGTGACGGTGACAAGCACTCCCCAAACAAAGCTGCACAGTTTGCGGATATTTCTGCAGAAAGGGGCGAAAGGATTGGGGCTTCCCCTGCCCTGCGCACACTGTTCAGGTAAGTTTCAAAGGTCCAGTCCACAATGCGCCATGTCTCTGTCCTGAGGTTGTAACAGACCGACTCTTGAACACGTGGGCATGTTCGATTCTATGTGCCCCTGGTACAAACATTTTAATCTTGTGCTTTAAGCTAAAACAGCCTGCGACCCTGCCGCCCGGGAAAGTCCTGCCACCAGGGGTTTCGTACACCACGGTCTCCGACTCTACGTTGACCTTCCCGGTATCCGGGTCAGTGTAATCGAAGAGCATGGTATCTGCTTGGCCAGGGGACCGGGACTTCTTGCAAGTCCTCAGGCGACCCGGTTCCTCTACCACTCCGAAAACAGCTTCATAAAGGTCGTTGAGCTCTTTGTCAACCACAGACTTGCCGCGGATCTGGCGCAGTTGCGCCAAAGACTGGCAATATGCGCTGGCCACGGCTCCGTGGCCCTGTGAAGGGCCCAGGATCCTTGCAAAGCGCATTCCTATGAAAATCCAAAGCCCATACCGAGCAACCTTGCCCTTCGGGGACTCGGACTGCAGCTCTAAAGAAGCCACCTCCGGTGACTCTGGTGTCCCAGCTGCGCCCACGCGCGCCCAAAGCTCCCGAAACTCATTGGCCCCTACGGCCGTGACTTCAATCGAGGCTTCACTTGGCGTCACCACAAAGGATGGTACCTCAACCTGAGCCGAGAGCAGACTGTAGTGCTGTAGATGTGCAGGATACATCGTGCTTGGGCTAGGTCTTGTCCACGCTACATAAAGTCACTAAACTGCAGGCTTAAAAGAATGGCTAGTTATACTAGGGTCTATACTGACATGGCGAGGAACATGCGGTGGCTGGAAGTCGATCCGCCTCTGTTGCATGTACTGCAGATGCCGGCCATTTGCTTCGACATGGCAGTAGCCCCCGAAGCTGGCTTCCTCTGTGTCGTGGCCTTTTTTGCGTGGTATGCAGAGCTCCACGAAAAGGCCAGAAGGCGCCTGCAGCCGCAAGGGCCCGTCACCATCGGTATACTCTGCGACTGCGGTGCCCAACGGCTGCTCCCTCTGAACGAGGCTCCAGACACCCGCCAGCTCTTTTGCAACGGGATCGCTTGCACTGACATCGCGCCAAACTGGTGAAGAGATGCGAGTGGACGGCCACAGCGCATGACCGTCTTGTACTAGAAGGGCAACCGCAGTTGAGAGATCGGCTTCCGGAATCAAGATCACTTCCTGGGCAGTGCAGCTGCCTTGAGGCATCGCTCCTACATCCCAACGGTGCTCCACCCCTAACTAAGCCATCACACTCAGCCACCAACTCGCCACATTCATCTATGGAAGGCCCTATGCAGAGCAAACACAGCCCTGTTCATGAATCTAAGGTTGTTGCAGAAGTGCCTCCAGAAGCGAGGAAACTCGTACTGCTGCCGGCATACACACATCAATGAAACTCACCAAAGCTGCAGATATCGAGTACATGGAGAGATTCATTGTGTGCAGTGACGTAGTGGCGCAATGATTACTGCGAGAACATTCCATTTACCAAATTTAAAGTATGACCGACATGAAACAATCTGACCCCGACACCGCCCTGCCTGGCCTAGCTGCGCTTCGGCGCTTCAAAGCCCGACATGATCCCCGGAGGTCCTGTCCTAAACTCTCGAAACACCGAGCTGACGTACGGCTGGCGCCTTGGGCCCCAAAAGGGGCAACATGCAAATGTCCTGCCTTCATAGGGCGGCCGCTTGGATACGAAAAATCTAGTTGGACCCACCATGCGTACACAGCTAGGGCAGCTAGGGCGCGGATGTTCGAAGGAGGGGCGGCAGAATCCTATCCCTGGGAAAGTGTTTTTATTATTAGGGGGAATTTTTTCTCTACTGTCAGATTTGGGCACAATTACGGCCGCTCCGCACAGGCAGGCTCAGCGAGGGCCTGTGAGACAGGCAGCCTGGCCTGGCCTGCAGATTTAGGAAAGTGTGAGGCAGGCTTCGGACAGCCACGCTCACAGACCGAGCTGAGAAAAGACCGACAGCTGGCAAGCAGGGAGGCTCACCCTAAACCCTAAACTTTTAAGCCTGACCCCCCCTAATTCAGAATAGGTTTTAAAGGGCGGGGATGATTTCGGCAGGATTGGGCCCAAAGTGTTTTGATTATTAGGTGGGGGTGTGTTTAATAATAAGGGGAAGTGACTATCCTTGGGCTTCCTTGGGCTGAAAGCGCTGTGATTCTTTCGCTTTGCTTTGTCTACCAGGTCGCGGGGCCCGCCGACAGGAGCCGAGCGCGAAGAGACGCCGCGGAGAGCGTTTGGAAGAGCGCGGCGAGGCTGACAGAACTCCTCCTGAGATGAGAGCTGAGACTTAGAGACTTAGGGCAGCCTTCTAGGGCCCTATATAGGGCCTTACTTAGGGCCCCCCCTTTAACTTCTTCGTGAGAGATCTTCTGCGCTTCAATTCGGAATTCGCCTGCTTGTGGAGTGGAGCTCCTTTCTGAGAGCATGTAGGATGGCCTGCGTCATGTGTTTGCCGTGTCCGAGCACATGTCCGAAATATGTTGCACGAATTTTCAGCAGCTTGGGGCTTGTCCAGTCTGGAGTGGTGCTCAAACTCTCAAATCAGTACTTGCACCTCAACCCCTGATCCCGTGTCCACTACCCATAGCACCCAACAGCACCCTCACCCCCACAGAAGCCTGCCTGCACACTGCGCAACTGTGCATGAGAAAAGTCTTCCCTATGGCCGGGTGCAACCAAAGATGGCACGTCCAAATGATCCGTCAAACGAGCGACTTGTCTCTTGAAGCCTTGACGTTGGGGCTTCTCCTAAGAAAAGTCCCAGAGCCTGAAGCCCCAAACCTGCCGATAAGCCAAGCAACGACCGCGGCTCCAAGCGCAAGGCGCACCAGGACTGGCCAGGGACCACCTCTTCTGCACCCTCGGACTGCACCTGGAGGCTGGCACTGGCAGGGATTTTGCTTCGGGATCTTCAGTTGTCGATAAGCTCTCTGACTTCGTACAATGCACACGGGCACACGATCTCCAAAGCCACCCAAAACAGATCCCTCAAAGGTCAGACAGCCATGGCACGAGCTCCTTCGAGAAAACCCGTCGCGGCACCCAGGCCGTGGCTGCACCAGGCTCCTGGCGCAAAGAAAAGGCCGAAAAGGGGCAGATTCATTTCACGAGTTTATTGCTGAGATATCGAGCAGGGTGCAGAGTGTTATGCCGTAGCGCGGCATGCAGCAAGGGGGGAAAGCGGCTTATCGATGAAAGTACGCTCTGAATCCTGAAAGGGGCTCTCAACGGTCTCCCAGCCCTGAACCCGAAATCTGAAGGTGACACACGGTTCGGGAGGACAGACATGCAGCACCTGCACCACGGTGCAGAATTCATCGCTGCGGGCGGCTGCTCGGACGCAGTCTGGAACTCCACGGTTCAGCCTGGAGAAAGTCTTTTGTGAAAGCCAAACGCTGTGGCCGACAACTGTCTGTCACACGTTTCACACTTGAAAGCGCACTCAACCTCATCGACTCAATAGGCCAATGATGGACCGTTATCGTCGCTCAGACCAGCACAGCTGAGGCCTCAGAAGGCCAATGGGGTCCGGCAAAGCCTCCAAGCCGAGAGGTGCCCCTGACTTCAGAGGCTCGCCAGTCACCTGAGCACCAGGGTTTCAAGCAGATTCCCCTTGATCCACGTCGGAAAGCTTGAGAACAAGTCCCTATAGTTACTAGTGCTAGGGTGTACATCTGCATCACCCCCACTTGCAATACCAATTTCCGCGGCAGCCTCGTGAGCAAGTTCCACGTGGGTCGCCCACGCGCTGGCTGTAGGTGCCATGGCTGCGGGCGGAAGTTCCGTGCCACGCTTTATATCGGTACTGGAACATGCTGGTGCTGGCGTGAAAGGGTGCGAAGTCGAGGCTGAGGTCAGTGGGCTTTGCTGGTTGCATGGTGCTGCCGAGAGCTGGCAGGTTAAGGGAGCTATGACTATGACTATGACTAGGCTTGGGGCCTTCTACTTGTTCAAAACCCCTTGCCTATCTGCAATACAAGGCCCCACTCGGCCACACCGCAGGCCGAGCAATGCCTGGGCCGGTCGGACGGCGCAAAACATTTTTGCAGTGGTGAACGGTGCACGGACAGTTCTGGCTCGACGCACCATGACAATGACGCACCCTTGGGACCCAAACCACCGAGTCATGCACAAGTCTCGCTACTTCACCAAACAATGGAAAGCTCTAGACTCTAGATCTCAGAAGACTTCCTGCAGCGCAGTTCATACTCCGAAATTCCGAAATCAATAGATCGTGATCCGTTGTTTCGACGGTGGGTAGACTACGGTGAATGTGTTGTGACCCATCTTTACGCGTGCCTGAAAATCCGTAAGCAAGTGCGAGCTATTGCAAGCTGCGTGTGCTCATGTCAGTCAAAGCCGGCTACAACCTGCTCAAAGCCAGCATGCTATCCTGACGTCAGTTGCCATGCTGTGTGTGCAAAAGCCACGTGGTTTTCGCGACTCATCCCACTCCGTTCAAGTTCTCCTCTGGCAGTTCTGGAATGTCAGGGTGACACAATCGCCACGTATTAGTGGCTGGCTTAATTACTGCATAAGAAAGCATTTGACCATTCGTTTGACACCACAAACTGCAAGTTGAACCTGTATCTGAACCATTCTGGCACATGAAATCCAACACAAAGCGTGCTGCGCGGGGTGCGATCAATCCCGAAGTAGGCCAGAGACCTATACCACAAAGTGACCATCCTTACTAGACTCCTGGACCCTTTAATCAAAAGTCAAGGGTGGACAACAAAGAACGCCATCGTACAGAAGGTAGTGCATTTGGGGCCTTTGAAAGTTCTCTGCCTTTGCAGAAAAAAGAACGTTTCTTGCAGCACCTAGGTCGACCTACCCAACAAGCAACGACCTACGCTTCAGGACCTCAGGAGTGAATCATCAGTTTCGGTTGTAATGCGCGGCATAAGCAGCGCTGGCATCGCCGCTCATGTGCGGGAGGTGGAACATGCCGTGGGGATACTCTTCCGCTTCTTTGGCGAGGACGTTCCTAAAGCAGAAGGTGCACAGAGGCCCCGGGAGCAGTTGGTAAGCGTAGCTTGTTTGCATGCTGTCTGCCATGACACCAACAGATTTCTGCCGGAAGCTTTGCTTCACAAAGCCCTATCAGCCCTGATACCTAAGACCCCCGGTATTGCTTGGCAGCTCGGGCACCTGAGCATCTCGGACTGCTCTTGGTCCTCTCTGTAAAATTTCCAAATGCCAGGAGCTTGGCGCCTGAAAGGAATGTATCTCCACCAACGTCTAGTCATGTCATCTTTGTTCTTGCGAGGCAGTAGGCCATGGTACGGCAGTTAGGCAAGAATGGCAAGAACCCACCCGCAGCATCACTAATGGTGCCGCCAAAGCGTCTGATGTTCACGTCTCTGCATGATTTTCGCGAAGGAAGAGAAATGTGTCATCCACCAAGCCTGTCCCGTGGTCAGCATTGCGGTTTCTACTTTTTGGCAGTGTGAACTTCACCCTTCGGTACTACTCTGACACCTGGAAAAGGAAAATCACCATGGTCACGATGGCCGCAATGAAGTTGTCAAGGCTCCTCCAAGAAGCTCAAGAGTCTACATTTTTGCCTGCGCCAGCTCTGCATTTCGGCTTCCGATTCCGTTTCAAGACTCAAGAATCTCGAAATGAATGCTCTTTGGTACTTACTTTGGTCGGAAAACTGCTGTCAAAGCACCCTCAGCATAAGGGGGAAATCCAGCCCAAGCTTGAAGAGGCAAGCTCTCTGACTCATTATGACTGATTCAGAGTGAATTTCAGACTGTCCTCAACACCAAGATGACGACCTCCTGAGCGTAAGAGAGGTTCCCCTTGCCATTGCTGTGGATGACATGCCTCAAGCTGCAATAGCGGTGGATCGACATTGACAGAAGCCGCTCTGAAACCTTCCGGCCCGTCAGTGCCATGAGCGATGCGACACAAGCCCAACTGCTAGCTAGCCCAGAAGCATGATGGCCGCCCAGAAGAAAAGGGCGGACACCGAGAGCAGGACAACAAGCAATCCAACCTCAGCGCAATGAAGCCCCACAGCTGTCACACTCGACCCAGCCCAAGACACGAGCAGCTGCGAGCAGACTTGCAGGCAAGGACAGGGCGGCATACCGCCGACTACGGTGCAACTTAGTTGAGCTAAGCAGCGGCCACAGACTTGTTCTTCCATGTGAGGATGTCCGTTACCGTGGCGATCACAGGCAACAAGCCGTGGCGGATGCCCTCAAGCGGAGGGTAGATCTGCACCATGGCGGAGGACACGGCCAAGTCGGAGGCCCACTTGGGAAGGTTAGGGATGCTTTCGCCCCTCTTAGTGAGCTGGCGCTGGTGTACCACCTTCACATGCTTCTCGGGATCCAACAGCGTGGGCTGGAGCTCCACGGTTATGTTTTCAGGCGCGGTCAGCTCGAGAATCGTGCCGCGCTCACGGCCATCTACCCACACGAGGTCGTTGCGTTGGAAGGTCGCAACATTGTCTTCAGCGACCACAAACGGTGCAGCCATGAGTGCGAGGCGCAGCTCTGAGAGCGACACTGTCGGCACACCGTCACGCATGCACTGGGCGGCGAAGGCACGCAACTTGTGGGAGTTGCGCGGATTGTCCAGCCTAGCCTTCATGTCTTCCGTGAGAAGGCGCAATATGAACTTTTGAACCTCGTCCGTGTTGCGCCAAGAAGCTGTGTGCTTGAAGCCCTCCTCTGTGAGGTCTGCATTCTGACCGCCCCGAGTCATGTACTTGCGCTGCTCCGGGAAGGAATTGACGACTAGGGAGACTGAGAGAAGGGCGGGTATGATTGCCCACCACCAGTAGGACTTGTAGCAGCACACAAGCAGTCCAAGGAAGTACAAAAGTGAAAGCGGCCAGCAACGCCAGCTAATGAGGTACTTGAAACCGTACATGCAGCACAACAAGGCATCATCCAGCAACTTCACCTTCACCTCCCATGCTTCGTCCACGCATTGCTGGATGTCTGGGGTCCTGCAGACGGCATACAGCTGCAACAAACACTTGCATTTTTCTTCGGCTTTCCGATGCAAAGTGGCAGCAGCTCACGATCGTCTCTCGCAACACTTGTACTCATGATCCTCCGCAGTGTCTGTACCGCCAACCCGTTGCTACCAAGATCGCCTGTGGAGTCCAAAAATCTCACTGCCTCGCAGCCTAATAACCCGCAGCTCTCACACCTAGTTCTGGCGACAGCAACTGCCGCAGGGTCCTCTTGAGTTCCGTGGTCTCACGGATGCCCATGTTGACCGGCGGTGGCGCATCCAATGCCTCAGGAGTTTTTCGAACGCAAAGTCCGAAATGGAGTTCTTCCCAAAAGACAAGACCTGGAGGCCATGCAGTATGGCTCAGTGAAATACAGTCTAGTCAGCAGGACATGATTCATTCATGCGACAAGCGCGAAGAGGCTGTCAGCGCTGGAAACGACTGTCTTGAGCTTCAGCGAGATGTACCTGACTCCGTCAGGTGCGCCAACATCCCATATATTGACCCTGTAGAGCAACTGCGTTGGGGCATGTTCGTCCCCCACATGTGAGAACCAAGGGGCAGTTCGCCATTGTTGCTGCGATACCGTTCCCTGGTGCCGCCCTCCTTCAGGCTGGCGCTCAAGGTCTGGAAGCCATATTCCTGCACTTTGATCGGCCATTCCGAAACCCAGGCACTGCTGCGCTGCATGACATGCCGATCCATTGCTGGAGACAGGATGAGACAGGGAACACACCTGCCCATGCACACGCCCTATCACCGAGCCTCTGCCCGGTCAGCAGTCGAGTGGACACAAGCTTGGAAGGCGTCCATGGCCCTCTCCTTCCGTAGCTGTGACGTCGAGGCTTACAGGCTTCAACATGTCCACATGCCAGCACCCGAACTCACTCAAGTCATCAACCTAGATCCACATGTGGGCCTGCCTGGCAGGCATCTTCTGTTAGTTTCCCGATTGTCCAGAAGAAATTCAGCAAACTAAACAGTGGACGCTCGCACTTCGGTCTCTTTGGTCAGATTGCCGTGCTTCCGAGGTGGCGAATGCACTGTTGTGTTCAACGTTCTCATGCTGACCATAGATGGCTCCTTGCTGGAGGCAAAGAATTGCTTCTTCACCACAAGCTTCTCGGTGACCTTGTTCCCCTCCTCAAGCGCCTCATGACGAGAGAACAAACATGCTTTTGAATGTTTGGACACATGGAACCGATTCCGTTCGATCTTGATCTTACACCGACGCAGGTACTCAAGCTCAATGTACCTACTGATATGCCACCAACTCATTGCTCAAAAGACAATATTTCCCGTGCTGGTTCTCGAAATTCTACTGCAGGTTCTGCCGTGGCAGTGAGCATCGCAGTCTCTGAAGCCAGCCGTGCCTGGACCTGGCCACAGTTAACACACCTGCCTCCATCTGACAGTCCCTACGAGGTTCTGGAGATGCAAACTTGCCGGCGAGCTGCTTCTGGGTTTGTGGGCTGATTACCCTTCTCCTTCTTGCTCTGCTCCTGCCAGGGGAGAAATCAGCTCGAAGGGAAGGACCAACAGGCACTGCTGTACGGGTGGAGCGCAACAAAACCACTTTCGTAGCCGGAAGTCGTTAGGGCAGGACCGCCAGCTTTAAGCATCCAAATGCCTTTAGCAATGCATCCGTCTTCCGCTGTCCCGCAGAACCGAACCACAAATACCATTCACCTGGGGCCCGAAGTGGCTGGAGATCGTCACCCTAGCCTCACCTGGTGTGTCGAATTGCATGCGACTGCCTTGGGGGCTTGAATCTTCGAAAAGGTGATGCATTCAACATGTGTCCTCTCGGAACTCCCGCTGGCTGACTTCCTCCTCTCGCATCAAGCAGTGGTGGTTGTAGCGGTCCATGCTCGTCGACTGAAAATTGTCCTGCAACAAGCATGAGGCCCTTTGCAGCTTCCAGCCCTACCTCACGGAGAAGGGGCAGTTTAGACTCTTTCTAGGATTCTAGGCCAACTTAGAAGCCCAAATTCCAGCTCCTGGAAGCGCAGCTCGAACCATCCCTCGATGGTCTTGTCATGCGGAATGTCCCCCACACAAATGTCAACGAAGCCGATCTGGACCTTTTCGGTTGGCTGGTCATCAAAGACCTGCAAGCGAATCATAGACATGGGAGCAAGGATGTCCACCTCGCAATGATAGAGCCACATGGGCTGCTTTTTGGCCCTGGCAACTGGAGTGATGCACTTCTCGAGTTCCTGATCGTCCAACACCACTTGCACGAAGGAGTCGGCCGTTGTGTCCGCCGATCGCCAGTAGCCACTTTCTCTCTCTGCGAGATCACGCGCATTCAAGATGCCAATCTCCAGGATTGCTACTGGTGACAACGTCTCCAAGGCACGTGTTGGGTGCGATAGGCAACGCCACCGTTTGGTGTGAAAATCATCTTTGGTCTGTACTTTTTCAAGGAGTGATTTGGTCTCGTCTCCTTCTGGACTACCCATGAATCCGGCCATGGCTGGAAGCAGGCGAGGAGACTACCTTCGAGTCCGTCACCCGTCCCTACGAACACAGCCGTGCAAATAGGCTAGAACTGCCTGGGCCGACGGCAGCCGTCACAGCACAGTTGCATCGGGAGGCAATCAAGAAGGGACAGCCCACTGAGTGACCGCAAGTGCCGGAGAATCAATGTTTTGTGCACTGGTCGGCTTTCATATCCAAAGCTTTGTGAGACAGCCGGCTTGTCACGAAGATGCAAAGACAGGGCACCTTGGATATTTTTCGCTATGCCCAGGGCCCGACACTCCCAAGTGAAAGAAAGCAGGCAACTTAGACATCTTCCCCAAGTCTTGACAAGTGCGAGCCACAAGTGGGAGCCGCAGAATTTCTTGTAGCGGAATGCAACTTGAGCCACAGAAAGATCCTGAAGTTGCATGTGCCATCACCGACTGCAGGCGTCTAGGTCTCTAGTGCCTTTGCCGCTGATGCTGACCACAGCTCGTGCTTAGCCGCCTTAGCCCTGACCACTTCATGCAAAGCTCACCCAGCCGGTCGCTTTCGTCGTGTCTTTGTGCTCAGCCCACAGCCGGGAGGGCACAGCAGAGCTCAATGAAAGAGAATGAAGGATTAGCCGATTATGTGTCACGGCTGAAGTGGCTGGCAATGTGGAGATCAGCCGATTGTAAGACAAACCCGATGCTAGATTCACATGCTCTGCGGCCAGTGTGCACTGTAGAATCGGCTTTCCTTCGGAATCCTTCGCATTTTCGACCTAGCTGGCGTCTTCACCAGGCCAGAGCTCCGCCCACATTTCAGGCAAAGGAGCTGAAACCCATGGAGCACAGCTAGGTATCCCTAAGGTCGACTTGGGCGGCCTCAGGTCTTGTGAACGCTTAAACCCGGGGTCTAGAGTCTAGACTCGAGAACAAACCTCCAGGTTTGCAAAAAACAAAACCATCGGCTATGGCTCTAAACGTGCACCGGCTAAGGTCACCCACCGAAAAACATCTTCGAAAAGCTTCAGACCTGAGTAGCCTTCTTCTCAATGAACGCATCGGAATCTCGAGGATCGCGCTCTCCTTCGAACATCTGTGCTTTCCGTGTTCCTCGGGGGTAAATGTCGGGCCTGGGGTCCCTGGGCCGTAAATGTGCTACAAGTAGCACTGGTGTGCAGCGACTACGACATGAACTTCTCAGGGGGAGAGATGATGACGGCGGGCGCCGCGGCGGTTTGTGCATGATGCACCGACGCCATGCTGGCGAAGGAACCCGAGTTGCGCTGAGGTGCGAACTCTTTTCTCTTCATGCTGCGACGGTCGAAAGAAGTAATTAAAGAAAGGATGGCCGGTAGATTAGCGGGATGAAGCAAACTCTCCTACAGGTAGGAGATATCTGATGGTTATACGGTCCTTTAGTCTCGAGAGCGTGGAGGAGGTAGCAAAACATCTTTCAAAGCATGGAACCTGCTTCAACGCGACCTCTGTGGCGCAGCACCGCCTTGCGGATTCATATGGTGTGTGTGTCTGTGTATATATAAATAAATATAAACAAACATAAACATAAATATAAATATAAATATAAATATAAATATAAATATAAATATAAATAAATAAATAAATAAATAAATATATATATATATAAATATATAGATATAGATAGAGGTCTTAGGGAGCTCCTAGACGTGCCGTTTGCATGCACGAACCACACAGATCTAGTTCGACATGGTAAAGCTCTCCTCCAAGCCATTTGAGGCGCTGCCCGTGCTGCCAAACGCCCTCTCGAGCCTGACCACGGTTTGGCGCTACGCGCGGAAGGAGTTTTGTTCTGGCAGCGATATGTGCACCCACGTCCTGGGTGAAAGGGTATACATACATGCATACATTATGTTACATTACATGACGTGACGGTACATTACATTACACTACAGTACAGTGCATTTCAACACACACATACATACATGTCCTGTGTGCGCGAGTGCAATTGGTTGTTGGTATGTTTCCACTGTCCACTTGCTTAACCATGTTGTGTGGCATCTGGCATCTGCAACTGCTCTCCATCCGACCAGGCCTTCCCATCGATGTTCCTGAGCTCTTCCACGAGGGTCTACGGGCACCAAACAGGCAAGGCAACTCAACCCTTTTTAGTGGGGTTTGTCAACTCGTGAAACTGCTGCATGTAAATGTTTCGTCACGGAGATGCCTAGAGGGCCTAGCGTCCCCAACATGTCCCGGAGCCAGCACAACGAACCCCGTCAAGTGTGCTCCGAAACGTTGCAGGGGCCAAGTGTCAAGTACCTGCCAAATCCATGCTGCTTTCCATCCTGCAAGCTTGTCAAGACTGCCGAGCTTAGGTTACTGGTATACGTAAACGTAGGTTCTGATGACTGGGCCGAACGAATGGCCTGCCTGGAGCATGCATTGATCCTTTTCCACAGGCTTGAACTGAGCTCGCCCGGCCAGATCCCTCGCAGCACATCGCACTCGTGGCGAGAATGCATTGATCCTAATTCGGACTCTCTCGATAAAGGTAACACTGCAAGCAGGACGGAGCAAACCAACCTCTTCTAACATTGCCGTGTTCCCGGAATGCTCCGGGGTCCAGCGCTAAGACTCTCATTGCATCCCAATCATGTATCATCGATCATGCGTGAGAGATTCCATTCAGGTGAGGGGTCATGGTAATGAGTCAGGTCATCTGGGCAGTGCAAGCTTTCCTCTACGCAAGCCCAAAACATGGCAGTCCTTCCATTGGCCACTGTATTGGCGACCGTCTTGCCACAAGTAGCAGCCCTCTCCGTGCTTCTTGTCTGCTGCCTAAAGGAGAGCAGGAGAATCAAGCAAACCATGATTGCCTTGTGCACAGATCAGAAAGTTGCCCGCTGTCCCAAACGAGCATCACGTCTACGTGGTCTCTGACAATGCCGACTCGATTGCCGACTACCACCCTCTGCCAGCCAAGAGTCGTAGGAGCCATGATATGCACGGCCATCTGGCCAAAACATGTCACCCATACCTGGGTAGCCGGAGGCAATGATGCAACTGCGGCAAAGACGAGCGTGCATTCTATGTGCTCTCGCTTGCTCCCTCGCTCGCTCGCTCGCAATCTCAATCCCTCTCTCTCTCTTGCTTGCTTGCTTGCTTGCTTGCTTGCTGGGGGTTTAGGGGTTGCGGACAACCCCTTGGCCCGAAGGCCTACCCCACTTCTTCCACAGGGCATAGGGCGTGTGCGAAACCCCCTGGCCTTTAGAGGCCCCCCCTTGTTGGGGTGCTTTGAAGGGGCGTGAAAGTTTCACGATGTTTTTGGTCCCCCACCTAGATTACAGTTGCCATGAGTTCATACACAGACCCACTCTCACTCTCTCTCTCGCTCTCTCNNTCTCTCTCTCTCTTTCTCTCTTCATCAGCAGTTTGGGAGGTTGCTGGACCACACGACGGTCCATCAAGTCAAGAGATTTGAAGGTCGCACCCTCCTGTCGTAGCGTTCAGCAGTCCATTCTGACTTCCTGTTTGCATCCTGCTGCTCTTCGCGCTCCTGGTAGGTGTAAGCAATCTGTACAACAAGCTCCCTGCAACACCTAATGACCTAGTCGCCAATAAAGCTACGCTGCCATGGCAGCAGTTGTGCTGCCACTGTCCACTGTAGGTCCGTCCATCTGCCCACTGGTAATGGCCGACGCCGTGTATTTCGTCCTCTCGGCCCACGGTCGATGAAAATTTCTGAGTCGGAGGTACGCACACTTCCACCAGGAAGCCTACATACCCATCTGCCCTCCACAAAGCCCGCAATGCGAACGGCCCTGCTCCTCTTCAAAGGTCCCCGTGTACGAGGATCCGGCTGCCCAGGTAAAAGTGCCTAACGGTGCAACGAAAGGGTCCATAATGAGCCTGCCACGTGTCCTCTAGCCTTGTGAGGTAAGATCCGTTTTTTTTTTGGAGGGGGCCCCTAGTAGTGTGCGGTGGAATGTGCATCCTTAGATTTTGGACTGGCTCTCCTACGCTAGCTCCCCACGTCCTAAACCTTTTTAGCCTGGCAATTCCGAGCTGACTTTCATGCAACTTAATGGGTCAATGTGCTTCCAACTGGCAAACGGGAAGCTACAGAAAGCACAAAGGTCAGCCTTGCCTTAAGTCAAACGGGTGCAAAATTGCTTGCACATACAGTGTTCGACTATTTTCCAGCACTGGCTACGACAGAGCCACTCTGCCTCGCTGAATGTGCTCTGCATCGCCCCACCCAGCCTTGCCCATGCTTGAAATTGTGAGCGTAAGACCTCAGTGTCCCGGCATGCATTGCGCCGAAGGACCCTGGGGCTAGATATTTGGGGTAGCTTTCCAGCCATGTAGCCCCTCGTAGTGGGAGCCATCCATCCATTGTTCAACACCTCGAGACGGCAGTGTTACCGGGGTGATCCTTCAGACTGAAGTGTGCGAAGCTTTGCTGATGGCTGCTCGCCCTTTCCTCGATCTTTCAGTGCAAGCTTCTAATGACTCTCAGTCACGACACTTCACAGGATCCGTTAGATGCCGTCAGGTGCCCCCGCAGGAGGTACAATCTACTAAAGTAACGTGCCCGCACAAGACCGGTCCTGTCGGCTCGAATACTTCAGAGAACCTTCCGAAAACCTCCACATCCAAGGTCAAAGGTCTGCTTGTCATAACCCACCAAGGTGAAAGCTACCGAAGTGCATCGACTGAAAGCTGAGGTGCCGTAGCCGTGTTGAAGATCAGCCTCCCACTGTCCCTCGTAGCCTGGGAATTCTGCAAGGAGAACAGAATGCACCATGTCGGATGCAGCGGGCTTCCACCCGACACTCCAAACACTCGTTCATCGCCTTTCCGCTCAAAGCAAGCCGAGTGTGAACTCTAATCACAATCAGGCGCGAAAAGATTGGGCGCCCTTGTCCCTCAACCCTCTCTGTCGACCCGGTGTGTTGGCACGGGGCTTCGTCCGGACTTCTGGCTAAGACGACCAAATCCATGAGCCTGGCAGAAACGCAAGTGGTTTTACAGGGCTTCAA